ATTAGCTTATTCAACTAAAATGAAAGAAACCTATGAAAATATGAAACTCTTACTTAAAAAAATGTATCGTCACAAGTACAATTGGATCGTATGTTGTGATTTAAAAGTCATTGCATTATTAATGAATTTGCAGCTTAGCTATAATAAATTTTGTTGTTTCTTGTGTGAGTGGAACAGCAAAGACAAGAAAAATCATTATGTCGAGAAGGAATGGCCAAAGTGTGAAATGTTTATTCCTGGCCAGAAAAATATTGTTCATGCCCCATTATTCAATGCTGACATGATTCTTCTACCTCCACTTCGTATAAAGTTAAGGACTTTTCAAAAACTTTGTCAAGGCAATGAATGTAAACAATGCTGGATTTCATTATTTGAAGGAAAAATTTCCTTGTATAAAAAAAATTTTACACACCTGAACCATTTACGGTGTGATCACGCAAAAAATCGGTAAACAAACGTTTTCGAACCCCTTCTGGGTTCTGCTTCAGGTTCCAATCAGTTTCTATAAAGACGTTCGATATCCGTTAAAGTAGAAATTTGTTCGATCATGTCGTTTAAAGCTTGAATTTGAGTTGTAGGTGAATCCATTCGAACCTACAACTCAAATTCAAGCTTTAAACGACATGATCGAACAAATTTCTACTTTAACGGATATCGAACGTCTTTATAGAAACTGATTGGAACCTGAAGCAGAACCCAGAAGGGGTTCGAAAACGTTTGTTTACCGATCTTTTGCGTGATCACACCATAAATGGTTCAGGTGTGTAAAATTTTTTAGTAGTTCCGGTGTGATAAATAGTGAACTTATTTCCTTGTATAAGTGATGCTAAATCAAAGCAGGAGTTTTCATGTGACCACAAATAAGAACTTTAATTAAAGAAGATAAATTTGAAAGCTTGTTAAGTGCAGTTGAAAAGTCAGCATGGAAATCATTCAAAGATGTTGCACAAAATTTCTTGGATAATCTCTATCATCATAGAAAAGAGGTATTCCTCTTTTCTATGTTGATAGGGCCAGTGGAATTCAAGAATGCTTGCTGATTACTGTTGGACACTCAAGAGGGATTCACCAAATGTCAAACATAGCAGAAGCTTCAAATCCTGCCATTTTAGACAAGATAAATAAATAAGTGTATGCATATTGTCTAAATAAATATATTTTACATTTAAACTGGCTGTCACAAAAAAAACTAGACGTGATGGAGAAAAACTGTTTATATATTTGAAAATAGCATTAAAAATTCTATTAGGATCAGGTATTTTCATTTGTGTGCCAAAAAAAGCTTTCATTTTGTTCCCTAGTGTAATTAGACAATATAATGCCTTTATATATAGATGTGTGTGTGTGTGTGTGTGTGTGTGTGTGTGTGTGTGTATTATCCATTCAGCCATGTCTGCTCCTTGATAATTTCAAAGGCTATACTATATTTTCTGTTCTATTGCTTTCTGTACTATGTGATCTTATGCCAACTCTTTCAATTCAATCATGTTCTTGCCAGTGTCCACTTTGATCGTATCAACCCAACAAATCTTTTGCCAGTCTGCTCTCTTTGTACTCCTGACCATTCCCAGCACGAGGTGTTTTACAAGCAAATTAGTATGCATTACATGTCCAAGATAATCAGATGAAGCTTGGATGATCTGACTTCTTGTATCATTTCAGGTTTCACGTAATCAAGCATCTACTACTTTTGCCATCCACAGTATTGCAAACAGGGCTGTAGAGTCGGAGTCGGGAGAAAATTCTGGCCAGAGGAGTCGGAGTCGGAAAAAATGTCAACTCCGACTCCCACTTTTTAAATTTAGTTTAGTTTTTTATTTAAATGAAAGAAAATTTATTATATATTTATTAATTTTTTAAAATCTTTTTGTATTTTGTTATAATTCATTTATTTTAAATACAAAATGCATCAATTTAATTTATTAAATATGTAGTATTCTTTGTAGTATTTGTGTTTAGTAGTTAAATTATTTTGACCCAATTGAATTTGAATATTTTTGAATCAGTCCTTTATTATCCCTGCTCTAAATAAATACTCTGTACTTCTGAACGAGCCAGACTAATTGATCAGAGTACATATTTTTCTTTTCTGAACAAGGGGCTGAAGTAGCTACATCACACACATTTTAGTTGGACTAACACTTCTGGAAGGGTGAAATTGAAGTGCAAATGCTGTTGAATATATGTAAATGTAGAATTTTATTGCTCCCTTTCTCCTTTTATTAAGTATTTGTTAAAAATTAATTTTTAATATGAATATATATTAATGCAAGTTAAATATTAAAAATACTAACTATAAAAGTATTTGGTTAAATGCCTCAGACTTCTTTCAGAGTTCTGAGTAGAGTACCCCCCTATGAGGGCCTCTGCCCACTATAAAATGACTTGGTATTTAATTTTGCCAGAGTCAAAGTTGACCTACTAAAATTGAGTGAGTGTTTTTTTACCGACTCCGCAGCCCTGATTGCAAAAGCTTTCTCCAGCAACACAATTTTAAAACAAAAAATTAAAAAATATATTAACATGTTTAAAAATAGAAGCACATAACTGGTTATACATAATGAAAAGAGCTTTAAAATAAATTTTCTGTTATTTAATTTAAAAATGGTTGCGCCATTAACTTCTACTCTGATCATTTGCTGTATTCTTTTTTTTTTTATAATCTTGAATTGCCTACAGAAATAAACATCTAGACCACTGCATTACCATTTTTCTATATGAATTACATTAGAATGTTTTTAGTATCCTAGTTTTCATGAATGGCTGACCTCACAGATAAAAAATGTGGATCTTCTTATTTTTTCTTCTATCAAATGATATTTATTTTGCATCTAGCTTGCGCATGATAGATTCAGCATAGAAGATAAAAAGGAAGGTTGGTGCAGAAAAACTTGAACGCTGAGATGAGATTTTTCTATATATACAGATGACCATCACTCTGTTGTTGGCAGTGTCAAAACTTTCCAGTGCTTTTGCTAACTTTTTGCATCATAAATGCTGTGCCATTTTGTCATGGCCAGAGCAGTAAAGCATAAAATAGGGTGAGTGAAAAACTGCCACCAATCCAATGTAATCTGTTTATTCTGAGGACATTGACATTAAGTCTTGTCATTTCATACTTGACAGTATTGTCTTCTTTTATTAATGCCCTAAGCATTCCACATTCCAATCTTGTAAAAATTTGTGAAGTGCAAACTGTTTCTTTGTTGATCGCGTCAGCCGATAAAATTACTGAGAGATTTGCCTTATCCGTGTCATAAATATCTCAACTACTCAAAACAGGTTGTCGTTCTACCTCAGCACCTCCAGTTCAGGAAATCTACCTTCCAATACTACATTTGGAATATTTTCAGGAAAGTCTAAGAAATCTGATAAAGCTTTTTATGAAACAGGCCACCAAGTCTTTCTCCAACCCTCCCCATTTAATTCAAGCTTGAGACTGGCTGATAGTTTGCCTTTAAAACCATATTTTATATGGTTTTAAAGGTAAACTATGGTTAGGGCATTATCTTGTATAACTGTATAGTTTTTTTTAATAATTGTATTGTAGTGATATAATTTAGTTGTTTTAAAACCATACAAATCTTTTTTAAAACTGTATAAAACATGATTTTAAAGTAAAAGTTATTAAGTGGCATTATTATGTAGAAAATCTAGTTGTCAGATATAATTAGAACATTTATTATTTACAGTATCTTGATCTTAATATGAAATTACAAATTTTCACTAAATGGCATTTAAAATATGAAGAAATAAAAAAATAAACATTAAATTGCAATGAGAAAATAACTATTCAAATCAAGGCTGTGGAGTCGGAGTCGGATGGTAAGGAAAAGTCGGAGTCGGTAGATTTTTACGCGACTCCACAGCCCTGATTCAAATTAACAAATTTGCTTATTCTCAAAATCAAATCAGTTGAGAGTCAGATAAATAAAAAACAATTATAAATTCAAAATTTCCAGCAACTATAATTGGTGTTTTAAATTTAAAATTTAACCTACAGTGGTACCTCAGGATACGAACGTCCCAGCATACGAAATTTTCAGGATACGACACGAAATTCGAACATATTTTTGCTCCACGATACGAACAAAAACTCACCATACAACATCACATTAGTTCGCAGTACCATTTTTTATTCACTTCTGTTCATCGGTCTTGGTCCGCGCGTTTGCTTCGTCGTGTAAGGATCTTGCTCGACAAAGGAATTCTATCAGAAAATGACTGATTTTATTGAAAAGAAACATCCCAAAAAGGTTCACACTGGCCGTATTGCCGCTCGGGTTAATGACATTTGCCTAAGTCACTTTAGAAACATTTTAAAAAGTAGGCAAAGCCACACCTCTTTGGATAGATATTTTACGAAGCAACCTCTATCCAGTGAAAGTGCTGGTGGAAATGAAGGAAAGAAAGCAAAAAAGCAGTGAATAAAAAATTTAAAAAAAAATGAAACAGAAAAGATTAAAACATTAGTGTTAAGTTATTTTTAAGTTAAGTTTTAGTATCATTTCCCTTCTCCCTCTCTTCCTCCACCAGTTTACACCTCCACCGTCATCTATCCTCAAAGGTAAAGTGCAAATAAAACCGCATTTTTTTTTAATCAATTATTATTCTATTATGGTTATTTATACATTTACAACTACAAAACGCATTTTTCAGTGTTTTCCTTACTATAGTTATTTTTTTTAATGTACAACTTAGCTTTAATTTGAGTGTTTTTCGTGTTGGAACAAATTATTTGGTTTTACGTGTAATCGTATGGGGAAAAATGATTCACCTTACAACATTTTCATGATACGATATGAGTTTCGGAACGGATTAATTTCGTATCCTGAGGTACCACTGTATTATAATTTCAAATATGATAGAGAATAAGAATTTGGATTCAATTTAAGCTAATAACAAGACTATCTAATTATTGATTGCAGCTCAGTTTGGACATATCCTAGTTATTAATATAGCAAAATTTGATTATGTAATTTAAATTTGTATTTACTTACTTGTTGATTTGGCACATTCAGTTGAATGTTTTGACTTGGAACTACTGTAGCTTGTATCGTACCTATATTGCTAGAGGGAAGTCCTTGTGAGATATCATGAGTAATTTTAGTTGGAATTCCATTAGATTGTAAATTACTAGTTAAAGTTGATACAGGTGCTGAATTATCTGCAACAGTATCCATAGATGAAGTAGCAATTATATGAGATGTTTGTCCAGAATTAACACTTGGTAAAGAACTATTTTGAGAAGTTGCAACTTGTACTCCTACTATAACATGATTTATTCTTGATGATGGTACTACATTATCCAAAGATGAGTTTGAATTTACAATGGGCATACATGAATCCTGAAATATAGTTTCTTGCGTAGATAAAGTCGTTGCTGGTTGAGTAGTGAACTGAGCACTTGTAATTGGAACAATTCCATCACTTATATTTTGTACAGTTAAAGGAATTAATGGTGATATGGTTGGAGTTGTTGTAATAGTGGAAGTGACAGTTGTTGGAGTACATATACTTCCAGCTAAATTCAAAGACGTCATATCAACTGCAGGAGCAGCATTTAGCCTTGCCAGCAAGGCTGAATGATTCTGCGTAGTACTAGTCATAAAGCCTGCACTCGTAGTTGCTGTACTGATAAACGGTGATACTGTTACTGTGCTCGTCTGAATGTCTAGACCCTGAGCTTGCCCTTGAGGAACATTTGAAGACGACAAATTATGTGACTGTAAAATCACACTTCCATCATGGGCTAAGGTTAGCTTAACTTGAGGCACTGTCTGATTTGGCTGAAAAAAATTTAACAGCAACAATTTATATTTATTCTCATTAACTAATATGAAAAACTATTTTGTAAAATACAGTAATAAATTAGATTTAGAGTATAAACTAAGCTGAAAATTATAAATCTATTAGAAATATACAATTATAATTCTACTAAATAATAAACTCTCATAACTGAAGAATTTTGCACTTTTAAATGATGATTAAATACTTTTGGCTTTAGTGTAATATATGTATTCAATTAAAGACAAAATTTTTTAGTTTATTTTTGTTAAGAAATGACTCTTAAAATTTTTCAAGTGAAATTTCTTACAATTCTATCAACAAACAATAGTTTATACTTTGAAAAACTAAGAAATATAGCCAATACATTCATCCTAATATCGTTATTAAGTATGACAGAATATCATCTTTGTTTCATAAAATAATAAGTTAGATTAGTATATAGTTGAACCTCAATTATCCGGACTAATTGGGGATTAAGGTAGTCCAGATACGGAAAAATTCGGATAATCAAAACAAATACTTTAATTTGTCTTTTAATGATAATACAACATGTTTTCTTTTCAATGACATATCAGTAATATTAAAAATAAATACTGTATTTAAATCGTGATCAAATTTTCAAGAAACAAATGTTTCTATTGAATTTGGACTACTACTGACCAGCGCTAACAGACTACCTAGTGTTTGAAAGGCCATCTAGTGGTGCAAGAAGACAGATTTTATAAAATAAAAAGCAGTTGAAACTGCATTTTTATGAATAAAAATTTGACAAACTATTTATCATTTTATGACATGTAAAATTTTTTCATCGCATTCGCAGCTTTTAAGTAATGCATAAATTTTCGAGGCGCGAAGCCCTTCGGACCGCAAGGCATAGGCGGTGGCCCACGTCGTCCATGCCTTACGTCGCCCTTGGTTATAGAAATAATGTAATTTGAATTTAAATTATGGGTATTTGAATATAAAGTATAAATACGTATGTCAAGTTTTATTTTTAGAGTTTAGGACCACTGTGCTGGGTAAGACGTTGCTGAAACAAAAAGGTTATGCATTCCATCACATACAATACATAAGTACATCAGTGTCGTAATTCACCAAGTGCAAATCAGCAAATTCGTAAAATTTTTATTTAGAACAATCCAGATAATCGAAAATTCGGATAATAGAGGTCCGGATAATCGAGGTTCTACTGTATATTAAATCACAAATCTGACTGATATCTTTATCACTTTTAAAAATTAACTTACAAATTTAATTATTAAAACTGTTTAAAAGTATTGATAAACTATTTATTGTTGTTGGATAAATCATATTTATACTAAATAAACAATACTGTCTTTCTGTATTAAAATTCCTTAATGATAGTACAATAAGCACAACCAATAGTTACAAAGATTCCCTTTTACTACATTTTACTATTGCAATTAGCCAATTAAAAGTATTACATCACCCCAATTTGTATTAACTAATGTACCATTATTTAAATTTATATTATTCTTATGTTTTATAATTTAATGATGTTTTATAAATTTCTTTTTATAATTGTTCATTTCTTTATGTAATATTTTAATGTTCTGTTTAGCGATATCACAACTGTTTTCTTCAATATGTAAATATAGGGGTGAATTCTCATGCTTAAGTGTTATTGCCGCTTCATTGCTATATTCAGAAAAACCACAACTAGAAAATTGGCTATGGAAACATAGCTTTCCCATATACATATACTTTTTTGTTTTTACACAAACATGGGATACTATAGATCACCTCCCATGACTTTACCCATGTTTTAAAGTAGCGGAATTGGTCTACATCAGTTGCATGCTGTCCATGGAAGCTGTGGAGGTGCCGCTTCCCTTGTATTTTTTAAAATATAAATACGTATTGTGTGATTATTTTCATATTTTAACGTACTTTGAATTACTTAAAAAATTAATATTTTATAACTGCATTATGTATTTTATTAAAATTTCTATACATACTAAATACTGAACCTGTTACCGGTGTAATTTGCGTGAAAAAATCTTTCCAACTAGCTCTTCTTCAGGTAGACAAAAAATTCCGACGAAACACTTCGAAAAATGGAACGTAGATATTTAAATAAAAACCGAATCTAAAAATAGAACGCAGATGTTTAAACAAAAAATATGAAACTCGCATAACGAACGATCATTAAGATGGTCATGCGCAATCGTGCGCTGATGTTGCTATTTATAGATCGTTGTTTATGAGGGCCTGCCACGCTATAGAAAGATTAATCTCATCCTTCCGATTTATACATGTGGTCCGGTGGTTAGCCTTACAGATGGATATAGCTTCCCGCCATTTTAGTTGTTCCAGGTGGGGCGTAGTGTCGATGATGTCAGCTTTGTCGAACTCCGGTTCTATATCGGGATCAGATGCAAAGGTGGTTAGGGCCGTGGTGTACCGCCCATGCCG